TWTTTGATTTTTTYCTTTTTGTCCAAAGAGACAAAAACTTTATTTAATYATTGGATAATAACACTTACCCGAGATAAATGTCATGCTCATAGAAATAATCGTCAACCAGACGATGACTAGACGTTYCATTTTGTACTGCAACGGATGGCAAAAATACAATCAACTGAAGTGCGCGGAACAAAGAGAGTTATCTATTCCTTGTGCGTCATTATCATTATCGTGTTTTAACTAAAATTCATTGGTAAATCCCACTTCTCATCTACTCTTTTCATCATATATTCAGTATTTCACTTGTTCATTCATTTCTTTCTCGGTGTCCCTCTCGTGAGTTTTTCTATTTTTATGTTTATTTTTTCATTATGTAATCGAACTGTTTCGATATTTGAATGATCAATTTGTAAAGTTCTCCTTAAATTCATACATCGATTATTTGCACACATTGTCGTTGGTCAATTGTATCTTACATGTTATCATATATGTACTCTATTGGTTCTCTTTCACAGTACAAGCTTAGTCAGAGAGCACTTGTTTACATTAAGCTAGACTAATTTCCTATAACAACAACTGAAAGACCCCGGTTTAGTACACAAATATAATCTCTAAATATTACTATCAACCTACAAACGTACCATTGTAACATCAAGCAGAAATTACCTTTATGAAGATGTTTTGAGACAGTAATTCTCTTCACGTTTTCAGCACTGACTGCTAACTAATGTCTAGTTTAGTTTCAGTTTTTATAGTCAGCAGAATGACCTTGTATGTCCAAATCCTAGTTGGCTTAAAGATGCCCGGAAGCTGATGCTGCGTGGCGGATAAAAGGTAGCGATTTCAAAAGAGGAATTACCAAGTACGAATTGCCACGTTAATACCAAATTAGAAGGATATTTGAATCTCAAAGACAATGTTTCTTGTCATTGATAGCGTTATTGAACAGATTGAAGGCAGCTGACAAATGTGTTACTTTTCAGTACTTGAACACATCGAATACTAATTAGTAATAAAATTAAAATAGTCATCTTAAATGAATTTGTTTTTATCTTAACGTAAAGTTTGCGTTTCTGGCATTTTATTGATGAGGACAGCACGATCTTTACGGCCCATGAAGTGGTTGCTACGCAAGGGAAATATATGGATGTCATGTGAAAGTCTTATCGTAGATGTGATATTGGCTTTGAGCGTCTCAATTTCGCAGTTTTCTTAATTCATTTAAGTTCGATAATCTTTTCTTTTTAAAGACAGTGCAAAAATTATCCCATTTTAACACCTTTAAAGCACCCCGCCGTCCGAATCGCTCATCGTACAGGAAATCACGCCAGGGAATATGGGCGTGACGACCAATCAATTATTGTTTCTCTACAGCGTGCTTTTATATATCCCAATTGTCTATCATG